TCGAAATTAACCTTCAGAAGTTGGGCGTTCGGTGACCGATAAAGGGGCACGGGCCGCTTCTCCGCATTGATTTATGCCCCGGGGATGATGCGGCGGCGGCGCGAAGGCGAAAGTGTTACCATCTACCGGCGTAAATCATAACCGACGATGTATTGACAGCCAATGAATACCGTCATTATACGAGGATATATTGGAATTTAGTATTCGCTACCGGGTTAACTTCTCGTATTGGCAGGTGTGATATTAAATGTATACTAAGTTATTATGAGTAATAAATTAAATAAAGTTAATGTTTAACGATGTAGTCGTTGAAGTCTTTTGCTGAAATAACGCACTTAACTACTATTTAAAATATTTATAATAATTATACGAAAAGTTCATAAAAAAAGCGCAGTAATCCATGATCAAACTTTATTTCGGTATTAATAAATTTTGAAAGAAGTATAAAATGAATAATTTATGTAAATTCTACTAGTGACATCTAATAGCTACCATGATGAATTTAAAAGAGCTTTTTTTAATTAACACATATAAAAAAGTTTCATCCTGTTCTAATTGTTTATGATTGTCTATGTATTCGTTGGCTGTATGATTTGGTTAATTTCAAAATTACTTCTAGTAAGATACATTTTAGTAAATTGCTGAGCCTGCCTAACAACAGATAATTTGTGAGATTCCATGATTGGAGACAAGTTGAGAATCCGCCCCGGGTCTATCGACTCAACCTCAAATTTACGGTCATTTTTCACATAAATCAAAGAGAACTCGCCGAACGATTTATTGCTGTCTATGGTCAAGTTAGTGGTGGAATAGACAAAGATCAAACTACCTGAGTTATTACGCTTTGCAATTTTTTTTGTCTATACCACGCTTAATTCAATTTCGAAAAGTTTAAACGAAAATGAAAGTGTAAACATTTTTTTATCAGCCCTATTCTTTCGTCTTTTAAAATTTGCCAAATATAACTTGCACTTTTAAAGTAAACAGAAGCTTTCATTAAAAATTAAAATGGCAAATTCAACATATTGTCAACTTTATATTACTTTTCAAATTTGATTGATGACCTTATTTTTGCATCAGAATTGTTTATTTCGTTTTAAGCCTTTTTAAAACAACATCAAAATGTTGATAAATTGTACTATCTGCACTATGCTGTTGGTTCTTTTTAATGTCGTTCATATTAAAATTCAGATAACTTGATATTCATGTTAAGTCCGACATTGTATGTTATTGTGGGAATTTATATAATGTCAACACATCAGGTTTTATGTACGTTTAAATTGATCGCCGATATTTAATAAGGATCGTTCATAAACAAAGGCATGGAATGACAAAATTCCCAAGCCATCATCATTACGTATAATAGCTTCGTATTATAGTAAATATTTCAGTTGTTTAGTTACAGAGCGCGATATAAATGATGGCTCACGCGATTTCCTCTCCTATTATTTTACAAGGTAAATACTTTATTTTGGGTAGGGTTAATTCACCAAAGTAACGGAAGGGTAGAAATATAAATGGTTAGATAAACATCTTTTTATAATAACGTAAGGCGTTTTTCGCCTAAGTAAAGAAGCAAGGAAGTTTATTTACGTGATGGTAGATAAGTTAATACTATTCAATGTAAAAATAAGGAATCTTTATATATAGAAATCATTATATCAGTAATTTATTGTTTATCAGGAGCACTGTACTTTTAAAATAAAATTAATTAAAGTACACGTTCTTACAACAACACATTGGATTATTTTATTGGTACTTATAATTTATATTTATTTTCTTTCGCGCGAAAATAATTTTTAGCATAGGGTTCTCTTTCAGCTTAAGAAGTTTAATTATTATTGTTAGCCAAAATGCATTGAAGAAAAAGTTAATACACTTCCATCGCTTCGCAACGGTCCTCGCAATTTTAATAGCAATAACGAATTTTATAAAAGGAGAGTCTGTATCATACGTCAGTCAGACGCGCCCGAACAAATTGAGACAGTGTAAAAATAATACGGCATTGTATTAAAGATGAATCGAAATGATCGATCGAGGTAGGGCGTTCATTTTAATTTCGATTTCTCGAGATAGGACCCGGAGGCGTGGTCCGGCGAACAATTTATTTCACGTCCCTAGATACCTATACCTTTACCGTGCAACAGAATAGTTTTTATGTGAACTTGTGTTGGTGACAGACTTTTGGTCAAAACGTTGAATACAAACACAAAGGTTAAGATTTTCTTAAAATTCATCGGACTGTCTATGCGTCTATTTTCAATATTTCAGTCTGAACTTTTTCCCATTTATCCTGCATAAGTGACTTTTGAGGCTAAGGATCAGTGTCGTTCAAATAGTAATTAAAACTGGCTATGTTCATCATTTTCCAAAATAAGGACATCATTCAAATTTCCGAACTAAAGATGCGTCGCTGGCATTGCACCGTTATCCACTCCTAGTTGAATTGCGATAATATGAAACGTTTTATTTTTTGCAATAAGCAAAAATGAACAAAACTATTTTAAAATGATTGACAGTGTCGGCAGAAGTCGTTGGGGAGATATGAAGTCAATCAGATATATTGACACACTAGACTTGTCAGAAGACAGCGCTTGCTAAAACGTGATGGATGTTAGCCAAGAAATCGAAATAAAATTGTGGGATATCGATTTTAATATTGATACAAAAAGTATAAGAAGTGAGAAGGCAAGATGTTTCTTCTCTTTGATTGTTTTTAGTGTCATCAAATGTGACACAGCAAATAAACAGAACAAGTAAAGAAAGAACATAGAATACGTCTACCGCGTTTGTAGCACTCAGTGAGAGCGTAAGATACGTTGTCACTTTAGGGAATCAGTCAAAACTTTGTAAATCCAATATCTAAGTTGGGAGCGGGTATAAAAGCGTTGTGACGGTGTGTTGTAGCGGCTGCATAGAGGCGAGCTCGATAGCGCTGACAGTGACAGATTACCCCCCGTACCACGATAGTCTGGTACGCCGGTATCCCGGTACTCTGGTACGGTTCACGGCCGTTCGCGAGCAGGTTATTGAGTTCGCGAAATACAGACAGGAATGCGATTGAGATTTTAATGTGATGAGAAAGTTTTGATTTTGATAATAGTGATCTTCTTTGGAGGATGTTCGGCAAACATGTACTAGATTTGGAACATTTAATTGTTGATAGTAATTAAAAACGAAATTCCAATCCAGTTGATTAATGCTTCGATTTTATACATTAGATTTCCGGGTAGTATTTTAGTTAATAGTATTACTAAATGTTTTTTTTTATTTCAAAGTAAATTGTAAAGAAGATTTTTTACCGTAAGTTGTGAAAGCCTTCGAGAACCTTGTAATGAGTAAGGTTAGTGTCAATTTGTAAGAGATAAACCCACAGTGGCCGGTCTGTGGCGTTAACACCGCTCAGTGGCGGCGGGCCCGGCCGGACCCCCGCCGTGCGCTCCGGGGGGCCGCTGCCGTACTCCGCATTGTAATTGTTATACAACCAAATATTTCATATCACACGCTTTTAAATTATATGCAAACTTTTAGATTATAATGTGTTAAGTGCTAGCGATGACTAGAGTGATTTGGTTTAGCGTTTAATTTTTAAGGATTTTATCAATAAAGAGATCCAGTTTTATCTATTTTGGAGATGGCTGCCAGCTATATGTGCTATGTTCTCGTAAATCGTATTTACCAATTTTGACATTTTAATGTTCAAATATCTACTTTTATAGCAATCATTATTTTTTGAATAGTTGGTTGTTATATAGATACATGAAGCTACATTAATCTATGCTTCTGTTAAGTTCACACCATACCTTTGTATTTCTTTGTTATTTAGTTTATTATGTTCCATTTATAAAAATGTTTTCGGTAAAAGGTACAAGAGATTGACAATAATTATATCAAGGGAGATGAATATGGCGCATGATGTATGGCCAGGTGAGACTCGGCCGACGGATGATGACGGATCACGCGCCCGCTTTGTTCTACAAGTCTCACCGACGACAAATTTGGGGTCACTCCGTCTTTTACTCGCTATGACGTTTGATTGTGCTAAAAAATTGGCTGACGTACGTTTTAATTCAATCCATATTCGTTGCTACAAAAGGACCCATAAAAAAATAAAATCTTCACATCATTTTTGTTTCTGATCGAGCATGAATTTAACTTTAATCATCACAGTGAAATCAACTTTTTCAAATTAAAACATACATATTTTATAAATAACCACTTTGTATTAGCCTTTTACGTCTATATTTTACTGACATTTTTAGACTTGATACAATATGTTTAGAGAAAAGGTGCGGATAATATTAAGGATAAATTATATTATCTTACTAATATGCCGCAGACAAGCTTGTGTTATACATATAAATAAGAAACGTACAAGATTCATGTTATAAAATATTCTCACTTATAATTTGTGGTTACAGTGCATGACAAATATCCGTTCCGTTACACGGCCTGTTGGTGGCAGGTCGGTGCCTCGAGTAATACCACCAGAGGCGGCCATCACTCCCCCCCATTCTAACCCACTCCCACTGCCAACAGTTACAGACACGAGACGTCGTCGCGCCGCACAATTCAATATATTTCGGAGTTCATAATTTGATGTTCATTAAGGAAACTCTGGGACCGTGAACCAGAACACAATGGTTGAATGGCCATTTGTTGTTGCCGTTGAAAGGCACAATAATAATTCCTCGGCCGCTATTCACGCGGCAGTTAGGCGCACTTACGAAACGTGGTCGTTTCGTGAGCCACCGCGTACTGTTGCACGTCACCGTTAAGCGATGCTGATGTGAGCTAACTGCTTATGCTTACATACCTATTAAATGAATATATTTTATCGTAATATTCTTAAAACTCCGTGAGAATATGTGTAGATAGGGCTACGAATGCTTAGATTATCATGAAAGTGTCATACTGTTGCCGTATTGTCATTTTCAAATTATCAATTATCGGTAGTCATCTATTTTATAATAAGTATACATAGCATGGTGGGTACTGACCTTGTTGACTGCTTTTTCTTGTTGTTTTCTTCTCCTTCATCCAGGGATACTCGGGGACATTAAGCCCGCCGCCAGGTGATGGCAGGTCGGGCCCATAACCGGGAGGGGTGTGCTGCGGGCTAAGTTCGCCAGTCCCTAACTGTGGTAGCGCCGTCATGAACTCCGCCATCGAGGGCTGGCTATTGATGAAGCCTGTCTCGGTGCAGGTATCGAGCATAGGGTGTGGCGCGCCAGCGGCAGTTACGGCGGCCAGCCAGAACCCGTTCCCACCGTGCTCCATGCGAGCATCGACCCCAGCCGCCGGTCCCATCGGCGGAGTGTTCCGCGTCTTAACCGCGAACTCGTCCTCCATCTCATCGCGCACACCCATACCGACCCTCGGCTGCTTCCTGACAGGGAACTCTTCACATTTTATCTTGCGCACCAGAGGGTTGCTATCGAGCGGCAGCGCGGCGGTGTTGCATATCTCTTGCATCTCTGCCACGGTCGCCCACCACCCACAGGCCGATCATTCACGTGTTGTCTGCGATTTCCGTTTCGCGGCATGCGCTAACATTTTGCCTGCATTCGAAGAACTTTTTAGGCTTTAATTTTTTAGGGTGTCTGTGGTTAATCCAATATGAATCATGGTATCTGTAAACAAAGAAGTATTTTTAATATTCTATGTGTGTGCTTTAGTTTTAAAGTAGCCACATTCGATTCGTATGAGTTTTGAAGTGTTTCCTTTTCCATACGGTATTCCTATATAAGTACCTACTATCCTATAACTAATATTGCATAACGTATAATATATTACTACGAGTCATTTTTGTAATAAATGTAAAATAAGGAATAAAACAAAAAATAATCTAACATGAATTTGAGCAATCTTAATTTGTGCACGAATTCGTGTCGAACATAACCTCAAATCAAGAGGGACGCCAAATGAAATGTAACAGGAGGCCGTCTCGTGGTTATTTCGCAATTATCCGCGGACGTTCGACATTACCGCGGTTTTGTGTCGAATAATTTCGTGGCCGGAGCGGTGATGAGCGCACAGAATTGTTTATTATAATTTAGCGGCCATCATGGACTCAGTCGCACGTAATACTGGCTCGACAATAAAGTTATTATAATTGTCATGAACTCTACTGAATGTCACAGAGACGGACGATGTAAATGACTGCGTGAAAATTAAAAAAAATATTAAACGGGAAAAATAGAAAGATAATGCTGTGTGAAAATTATAACAAAAGACATGAAATTGCTGCACGTAAATAGTTTTAATGATGATACAAGATCTTGGTTGGAGACTACTATAATTCTTTAGAAGTATACTCTTTTTTCTTGTTGTCAGAATTATTTAATAGTAATAAGAGTTTTTATTTCGATGCTTCTATATCCAGCAGTTGATTATATTTTAACACTGATAAAATTAATAGTTTTTTGATTGTTTTATGTACGAATATTGAATCTACCATTTCTTTGAAATCATGAAAGTTTTTCGTTTATAACTTGTTGGACCCATATTTACAAGCCTCACCGCGATTCTATAGTCAGACATTTACGTGTATGCCGACAGTAGGCTTCCCACTCAACTTGAATGTCAATTAAAATTCAAACCGCGTGCGAAATACGATTTTTTCCAGTGGTATTTGCGGCGCGCCCCGAGGTATGGCGGGATCGCGCCTTTTTGTTTTATACTTTTTTTTCAAAACGGACCGGCTGCCGGTTAAACCTATTTTAATGCGAGCCGGCCGACGTGTGTGCTTTGAATTAAAATTTACTGTACACGTCACTCGTGCGACAACGGACAATGAAATGTAATTTCCTTTTGATAAATTAATGCTGTCACCAAGCATATATTTTTTCATGTATTGACATGAGACTCTATTTGGAGTGTATTTTAAATAAACACGTAGTATATTGATGAATTTATGTAGACACTATCAGTTAAGAAGTGCTCCTATACCATTATATCAAAAGCCTTTTAACACATCAAAGCGAGCATTTTTTAATTTCTTACTAAAAGGTATATCAAACAAAGAAGTGATGATAAATGTACCCGTACTTTTACGGCTTATTGAAAATATTTTTTTAGCTTCTGTATCCAGCCTAGTTACTACACAAACAATGAAACAAGATAAATCTACTTAAATCCAATGGTAGAGGGGGATGATAAATTAAATTGACTCCTACACGCACTACACTTCGTAAAAGGTAAAAGAAACCAGTTTTAATTTTTAGGAAAGTTTTTTTCAATATTACCTTTTAAAGAGCTCATATCGTACATAAGGCGCCAGATAATTTGAATTTTCGTGAATGCACGATTCGTACCCTTGTTCCAGGGGAGTCGCAGGTTTTACGCTACGCTCTACATTTCCCGTTTATCCCACGGGGAGTGCCGTTTTAAAAACGCATAAAGCCGGCAGCAAGGACTACTTATGAATTTGTTTATGGCGCTATTTTGAAGTAACGACGTCCCAAAGCCCTCAGAGCTTGCGAATCACAATATACCTAATTTAATGTTCCTAAATTTTATTGAAATAGCGAATTTTATTTTTTGTATTGGTACTTAAATTATCGTCTGCAATTTTATGAAATTCATATAACTCTATAATAAATTATGCAGTGATTAAATTTTGGAAATAGAGAGCAGAAAGATTTTGTTATGAACAAAAATCAAATTTGTGTATCAGATGAAAGCTACCTTAGAATACTTATTTCTTTTTAAATTGTTATTTATAACTTTTATGACAAAATAATTTCATGTCGACTTTTTGCTTTAAGAAAAAAATTCTTAGAACTTTATAAATGTGAACACGTCATATCTAACTTGTATATAAGTCAGCATTGAAGTATATAAAATAACATCTGCGTGCCGGGAGTGGGCCGCGGCTGAAACTAGTGGTTAGGGTCCAATTTGCCGGCCATAACGATTTCCTCTTCGGGGAATAGAATGGCGTGCGGATGCCGCCCACAGCACTGCGTGCTCACGGACGTACCGACATGCTATATGTATTGTATAACATGTGTACAAGCCTTTATATTGTATTATGGGAGTGTTCGTGACAAGAACATTGTGCATATGTGTTTCTCAGAGCAATGAACTCTGGAACTAATAATTCATACTAACTATTTGAATTGACTGACATAATTATTTCGTAATACTCATAAATTTCCAAGTTTTGTTTAATGATAATTTGAGTTATACAAGATAATAATGGCCGCTGACTCATCAGCCGTCCCAGATACCCCTGGCGAGACCCAGTAGAGCTGGACCTGAAGGACCCACAAGCGATGGACTGGCAGGAGAAGGCGCAAGACAGGGGACTTTGGCGATCTCTTGGGTCGTAGGCCAAGATCCACTTTGTGTCGCTGCGCCAGCGGAGTAAGATAATATGCAATATCGAAGTGTAGTGTATAGTCTAGTAAGGACTTTGGTGCAAGACTCCATCATGCCGCATATTTTATTCTATTTTTGTGGCTACAATGCCTAGCATGAGTTATCTTTGTGACGTCATTATATATCTGTTTATACAATAATTGCGAAGGATTGTTCATATGATCAGAGCCGGAGACTGGTCAGCTTATTGTATATTATTAAAACGCCCGCACGCAATAACTGACATCCAAGATGATTTCGGACCAGGCACAATGTCTTTTATTTGTATTTATTTAAAAAGTATAAGGAACTTATATTTTTATAGGTATAGACATATTGTAACACACTTTTATTCTAAGGTCTATTATTGTATGGTTTTTTCCATCAAATAGTTTGATTTGATATTTACATACAATTTGTATTACAGTATTGCAACAGTGTGACACGCCTAAGTTCAATAGAATAAAAATGCAGTAAAATAAAACCGCATTTAACATACTTGCGTAAAAAGTATCCGACATTAAAATGAGAATAGCTGTGTACTTTTGTGAATCTACTTTTTGTTTAATATTTTAAAAACCGAGGGACATTTTTAAGACAAATTCTAATAGATTAAAGTTAACTATAACGAGAAGTTGGATCACATTTTTATTGCATAACTTAATGCTTTTTTATGCCATCAGTGAAAGCCTACTTTAAGTGATATGTCAACAGTCACATTCCATCGACGATAGTTGTCAGTAAAGCAGGTTTACCACCTCCATATCGTGTGCCTAATAAGCTTACGAGGTGACAAGACATGGGACAAAAAAGGATTGAAGAGAAAATCTGCAAAGGTGCGCCAACACCATTAGAAATTGCATCGTACCTACGGAGAACTCGTATTTATGTTTCACAATTAACTTTCTACATCGAGCCGAGTGACATGGCTACTACGCGCAAGATTGAGAACTGACTTCTAATGAAAGCAGCTGAAAAAAGGTTTTATTGCTATTTCCAATTACACGTTATAAAAATAGAAATGCGAGATAAAGCATGAATAAACTCTACGTATTTTTTTAAGGAAAATAATTTAAGATAGAAACGAAGGGAATTATAATTGATATTAGAGTTTGATAATTACTACACAAATAAGCTATTGACATGTATTTTTTAGGAATGGGGACAAAACATTTCAGTTCTATCTAGAAATTACCTATCAGAAGGTTTTTGGTATTAAAATCGATCGCAGGCTGCCAATCTTTTCTCTTTATCACTATTTTTTTGTAAACTGTGTGTATAATTGTATGTTATAAGTATAATTGTATTCCCTGTTAATTAAAGTGTTCCTCTAATATAGATTCTGTGTTATTTTTGGAAAATTTGATATAACTTATGTTAATATAATTGTAACAAGACAAATATTAAATTGAGTAGTGACATAGTGCCGGAGTGGTGTGTATCGGAAGGCATACGTCATAATTCGGCTCGTAAATGTCTGGAGTACAAGCGACCCGCCGTGATTCGTGATGGATCGCGGAGGGAACTCTATCTTACTGGGTAAAGTGGATTGTAATACTTAGATAAGTATCCCATTATGATTTATTTAAGATGAAATAACAATTTAAACTACCTATGAGGTTAACAAACAAAGATTTTTACAATTAGGTAATCCTAAAATTTTTTTTTTTTTAATTTTCATTCTAGTCTAATTTTGAGGTCAATGATTGTTACACGCTTAATATGGTCGGAAAAAGCTAATACGTCAATTATCGCTATTATTATTTTAAAGTGTAATTCAGGACATCGGGAGGCTTATCGTAGTTCAAAACGTTAATGTATTTAACTTTGTTACATGTAAAGTATCTTTGCTGTAACTTATATGAAACTTATATATTTATCAACTCAATGTGTCTGAGGTTTCGTAACATTTTCTTGGGCGTACAGTGAAAACACTTACATGCCGGTTGCGACGTTAATGTTACTATAAATTCAGAGCATGTGCGCCGGGCGGGGGTCGCGGCTTGTATACTTTATTTATTACGTGTTGTCTCCGAATTCTTTATAACTTCTGGAGCATTATGTTAAAGTTATAAAGAAATATGTACTAACCATTTTTTTCTATACTATTTTTTATGTATAATAACTAACTTATCCAACATAATTTAATTTTCTAACTTTTTGTTTTTACCTTTGATAAGCCAGTGCTTGACCACTATCCCACCTGGTGTTAGCGGAGATTTGGTTGAAAGATGATACGCTCTAGCTTAATAAGTGCCTATTCACTCTACTTGTTTGTTTGTAACTTGTTTTTTTTATTAATTATTACAAGTTAATTATAACTTATATGATGGAAATAGTGTTCAAGTCTTTATTTTAACTTTATATAGTCGAAGCTCTCAAAAATATGTCTATTTTAGCCAGAGTTGTATGAAATTTATATAAATTCATTTACTTTAAATTAAAATTGAATTTTGAAGAGAATGCGTTTAGGCAAGGTGTCCGTCTAATCTGCCTTTACTTAATATTCTAAAATTAAAAGATGAGGATATTATTGTTTAGAATAAAAAAAGATCAAAACTCTATGAGTCTCTAAGAAAATAGTCAGTTTGTTATTTGGGTACAGATTTTTTTACATGGAATTGTAAACCTGCATACTGTATGTTATAAAGGATTAAAGTAATTTTTCGATTTAAAAACATTACTATGTGGATTTACTATGTCATACAATAATTATGTTATCCATTTAACAAAAAACAATATAAAAATTACAATATCTTATCGTGCTCAAATATTTCAATTCAATGTTTTTAGTGAGAACAAATAAAGAGTTAGAATGATGCTACGAATAAGTGCTACGAGGTATTTCATAATTTCTTAACTATTTTCATAAAGCATATTGCGGGGTTCGTATATGCCAAGTTATATGTAAATTATTCAAGTTGTATGTTGTATATAGTGCGACGAGACGACGATGGGCGTGTCCAAAGTAAACCGCCCAGCCGTGGAGGCGGGTCGCCTACAACTACCTAGTTCATAACTTAGGTATTTTTATACTTTATAAATTAAAAACAAATTTACCAAGGAATCTTTAATTTATGATACTGGTTGGTAATACATTGGCGTTATTTAAAAAACAAGAGATATTAAGTGTATACTTTGTTCTTTCAAATACTTGCAGAAATATTGTTTACTAGCTGTCGCCCGCAACACTGTCCGGGCAGAATTATAAACTTAATGAGTAGCCTATGTCTTCTTCCAGATTCTGTTCTACGCGTGTACAAAATTTCATCAAGATCTGTTGAGCTGATCCGGAGATACCTTCAAACAAACATCCATCCATCCAAACATTTGCAATTATATAAGAGAGATTATAGGCTGTAGGCAAGGTAAAGAAAGATCACATATGTATAACGAAATTTAAAAAATATGTATTGGCTTAACTATGCTCAGTTGTTTTTCTAGGTAATGTCTTTGTAGGTCAGTTTTCAATATAGTACGAAATAAAAACCTCGGTGTTCCCGCTGCTCGTTTGCCCCCTTCTGTTATAAAAAAAACAATTTGAAAAACGAAACAAAGGTGCATCCACTGTGTTCTTGACCAGATCTGTTGTCTCTTAAGACTGGCAACCTCGAATAGTTTAAGATTAACCATACCTATGCATAAACAGCTTTTAATATAAAATTATATTAAATATAACATGACGGTAATCTGTCTTCGCTCAGCATACAAACAATATCGTGCGTTTAAAATTCAGTGATTTCTCATTGATATTAACTATCGTTTTACAGCTACGGAGCTAAGAGTTTTATTTAACAGAGGATTATTAAAATGTCTTTGACTTTATCATTATTTTATGTTATTTGTTATCTATTGGATTACCGAAAATCCTATTTAATATTACTACTATTTCCTAAAATATGGTACAAAGAGATATATTTTTTTAAACATGAAACATACCGGAATGCAATATGGTCAACTGTGATATGTGAGGTACTTTATATTGGCCTTTACGTTATTACTAACTTATAAATGTCCAATGAACGTTTATAACCATAGTAAGAATCCAATTAGGGTCAGTAATTGTGCTTTTTGGCTTCCCTTTTTTTAGTGCTCAGCTAATTCTTTAACTAAGTAATGCAGCTAACACTGTTTAATTTAATAATTAAGAAATAAACTTATACAATAATGACTATGTATTTTAAAATCTTTTTACTTACATGTTAGTGAAAACGCGTTGAAATCTTTTATAATCACTTCATAAAGAAAATATTAACTTACATAAAAGTCCACTTCGGCCACTAAAATGTCTAAAACAACTTTATTTTAGTCATTATTATAAACACAACACTACACTTATCACACTTATCATAAATGTTGAAAGTAAATTAATAAAAAACTATCTGTTCCCACTTCGATCTCGTCCAATCATATAACAAACCACTAAGGTACGGACAGCAAAAAATATATATCAATATTTGTTATCAGTGCTTCTATCGGAATGTCAGTATAGCGTGGCGACTGTCAACTGTCGACTAAACGAGTCGTCACTGCTCGCTTGCCGCCATGCCCATTTCCACACATTTACTTTTAACTAAAGGTCCTATGAACAATTAATAAAAAAATGAAATCAAGTCTTATCCTAAAGAGATAAAGTGCAAATTGTTTTGATGTTCGAGTTAAACATAATGTTAAAAAGTAAATTGTTCCATCTAGACAAAAGTCTTCTCTCCCTTTCTTTCTCATTGTATCGAATATATTGCTGTCTTTTTCTTTGATGTTTGAATTTAGAATAGAAAAATTCAAATTTTAGTTTTTGATTGTTTATTCATTTCCGTACCAAAATATAATTTTAGAATAATATTTTAGATATTTTTTGAGGAAATAAATCTTAAATTATTGTTGTACGTAAGTGATGAAAACCAGTTTGAGTACAACACTAGATGCAAGTTGAATAGCGCCGTCTCGTTTCCTCCGATGTTTCTTGTTTGTTGCACGTAGTATGATTGGGCCAATGGCGTTTACGGCTCGACCCACCTTACAGAGAATAAAATACAGTAGAATAATATGCTCTATCACCTGTGAATAAAGTTTAACTCTTTGGCATTTAACGCCAAGTTACCGGCGTTTGTCATGCAAGAGTTCTAATTTTAAAACCGAGTGTAGGCGGAGCTCTCGATGCTTCTATATTGAAAAACAAAATGTCTTTTAAGAAAACCAGTTTTAAGAAAGTTAAGCCTTTTACGTATAGTGGATTTAAGTTTAGCCTCCGAAGCGACATAGCACCTTTTTCGATCGTCGTGCTCGCGTTAGTTCTTCGAAATAAAGAAAAAAGTTTAGTAACCGGCTTGTCGGTATTTTCCTTTTGTTGTTTGATTTTTGTTTCGTGAACGGGACATTGCATGAGAAATGCAACAATATGGCGTCGAGTATTTGTCTTTAGGTATTTCAATTTACTTACCGTTCTTGAAAATATTTATTACATTTACTAATACATTTATTACTGTTATACAGATAAAATAAATATATTATAGTGTGAGTATTAATATTTTTTTTAATAAAAAAAAAACAAAGCATAAATGCCGTGACAGCCACAGAAACTTTGCCTTTTGAAAATATTTTTTTTTAAACAAATACGAGGTTGTGGCGGTATGGCGGGCTATCAGGCGTCGCCAGAGCGTCGATGTGAACTCATTAGCGCTGTCGGTCAAGGCCCCGAGGTCGCTGTGGTGGGTGGTCGATTTAATTACAGCCTACAATGACGACGCCGCTTCTTTTCTCTGTATTACATGGTCAAAGATTTTAATTCAACAAACGAAACCTTTTGTATCTTTAATTTCAAATAAAATGTAGACATCACTCTAAAGTTATTTAATCATGGCTAGGTCATGGTTACCGTCAATGCCTTTGCTGTGTGGAGGGTAAGAACTGTATAGTAATTTTCAATATATGAATTTCTATCTAAGATACATCGATCTAACAGACAAAAATCACAGTTATAGATAATAACTAAATTTATTAAACTAAATAAATTGCCGTTTCATTAATTTTATTTTATATAGCAGTAAGTTTTTTAAATTAGAAGTAAGGAATCATGTATGTTATAAGTAACTAGCGTAAGAATTTTATGATTAATAATAAATAACGCAAAAGTCTCTGGCTACAACATGCCAGGAGGAGTAGCAGGGCGGCATAGCGTCGCCCCAACAAAAAAAGAATAGGCAAAAATCTAGTGCACCAACAACTAACGGAGATAATTTTTACAAAACAATGTATAATCTATATTTACGCTACTTCTAGACGTACAAAAAGATACTATAATGAAACTTATTGTAGCCAATATAACATTGTATTAGATAATGTGAGGTGTGAAGTTGAGATAGGCAATTTGTCACCTAACAATCAGCCACTGTCTTGTCCGGCGAGGTCTTAATAATAAATCTGGGTCAAGGTGTCACCTTGTCCGAGGAATTTGCGCGACATTCACTAATTCCCTTACGTATACGATCACAAAGGATAACAACGTCAGCTCGAGATCTAGTTTGTACTAGAATTTATAACCTTATAGGATACTTTACTAAGTACCTTGCCCACATTTACATCTAATATCTAAGCTTTTATCCGACTATGTTATCCAACGTTTTTATGACAAAGAAAAATATCGTGATGCAACCTGCATATATCAACGAAGAAATTCAAAGATATGTGTGAAGTCACCCAACCCGAAAAATTATTTTACTATTAAAATTAAGGTATATAAGTTGACTACTAATTTATCCATTTGATATGAACTTTGAAATACAAAATCTGTCATTTCTTCTTCAGAAGTTCTTTGCTTTAAAAATACACTTTCTACTAAAATGCATTTTTAAGCCATAACTTACGATGTCGTTGAATATTCATGACACATTTTAAAGGAATAATTAAATGATCTTAAAAAACTTATTTAAGTATTCAACAGTGCGACGGTACTTAGAAATAAGCTATTCAAAGTCCGTTTCCGCCATTAGCTATTTAAAAATAAAAGGGTACGTATACACATAACGTAAAATCCTTTACAAAATTGTTACATGTTGTAGTCGTAGCCTATATTATGGAAAACGAATTGATATCTCAACTAATTGGTTTATTTCAGCATATTTTTTTGTTGGAAACTAGTTATCGCTCGACTTCCGCGCAGAATAAATAAAACTTCATGAGTAGCCTATGTGTTATTCCAAATTGTATTCTACATTTATGCCAAATTTCTGTGAGATCCATGAAACCGTTCTATAGACACATTCTAACACATCCATCCATCTATCCACTCATCCATTAAAACTTTCGCATTTATAATATTAGTAAGATATAAAACAGGGACCTTTTTAGATATATGTAAACACAAACTAGGCACGTTGAAAAAAAACAGAAATTCTAATTTATTTTACATTTAGACTACTTTATAATTGTTCATGGCGGCAGTGATTACTTAACTCTGGAGATCTTCTCTACCTCTTTATCCGATTAATAAGTACGTTTCAAAAGTTGTAGGATTACACAGAAGATTTGTACAAAAATAACAAGAAAGTGTTGAACAAAACTTGTTACAATTAGCAATAGGAAAAGTAATTGCATGAAGACTGAATACAAATAACCCTCGCGTGTAATTAATGTACATCGCGATGTTGATAGATAATTATTGCGTATATGCTTCTAATATGGCGTAAGTATAATTGAAAGTAGTCACGTTATCTGCACGTATGCATAATGCATTTATCTTATATATAAAATTCTCATAATTTTCGTTCCCATACTCCTCCGAAACGGCTTTACCGATTCTCATGAAATTTTGTGAGCATATTGAGTAGGTCTGAGAATCGGACAACATCTATTTTTAATCCCGCGCGGACGGAGTCGCGGGCGACAGCTAGTATTTATATAGAGAATACTTAAGAATTTTAAAAGCTTTGTGCATATTATAAATTCCAATGTTTGTATGGACGGCTGCATGGATCACTCTGAAATTTGGCATAGATGTGGAACGTAGTCTGAAAGAACACATAGGCTACTTATATTTTTTTTTAATACTGCGCGGATGGAGTCGCGGTTGACAGCTAGTTTGTTTATATGTTGCTTACTGAATTAATGATTAAATAGAATTCTTAACATTGAAATCTACCGCTGGTAAAAGTTCAATGCTTTGACTTTTTAAGTTCTGTCACTGTATTTGTCAGGAACATTTGCTTTTATAAAGTCAATAAGGCAACCGTATCCATTGGTTAATCTACAATAATTCATTTTGGGTACACCGAAAATGCGTAATATCATGATTTTGGTATTCCAATGCCAAAATTGAGATAGAAAATTTAATAAAAAGCGTGATTATGTAAAAAATAACTCTTAACAATTTAAACTGTAGCTAAAATAAAATTCGTTATACGTAAATTCACGCATACTTGGAATTAATTCAACCAATTATAATCACATAAATCATAAAATGGCTATTGTTTAAAAAGGTTTTATTCTTTTTTCAAAATTACTAAATTCGCATTAATTCCGATGAAACTCACCGTGCAATTGAAACAACCTGAGACAAAAATCCCCGTTTAAAACATATCGTTATCTCTGTTTTGTAAAAGATAAAGACAGGGATGACGATATGTTTTATACATATATTGTAGTCTCAGAAACCAATGGTTAGTGTTTCCCACTGAACTAAGCGATTTTAGATAACCCTACCTTCAGCTTCACTGTATAATTACAATCGAACTGGGCAGAGTAGTTGATGATTGTAAGCTGCAGTAAAATTGCCAACATTACCTCTCCACTGTAAATTTTATCTTCCCTAATTGTAGAATAAAAATTAAACATATACATGCCCACAGATGATACCGATCTCACACAGACACGGACCGACATTTTGTTTTTAAATACACAGATAACAAATAAATTAAGTTCATTTGACTTTATCTATGTAATAAGCTTTTTTTTACTATCGAAATGTCGATCTATTTTTACTTGTTAATGGATTTTTACTTTTAAAGTAAATGTTTAAGTTATAGTTTAAAATTCCACAGTAATCGTATGATTTGTAATGATATGAAAGATATTTTATGGTATCGAACATTTTTATATAAATACGAATATTATTTTTTTTTTTTGAGAAGGGGGCAAACGAGCAACGAATCGCCTAATAAAAATATGTTAAATGAATTGCAAAGTGAATGTATTTTACCAAAGAGTGCGCGACTTTGAATAAAACTACGTCTTGTGTTTTTCCTTGTATTTTAAAATAACTAACAGTCGAGTAAAACAAAAGTGTAAAGTACAAACAGTTAATTCATAATAAGCGTGAATCGCCACGCACCAAGGATCCGTGGCGGTTGCAAACCGAGCGTATTACACCAGCTCACAAAAAAGGGTTATTTTCTCAAAACGCGAAACGCTCGCGCCGGCCCAACGCTGGGCCCAAATAATGATTAATGATCGCAAATAAGCGGGTGAGTGTTGCCGCGCTGTTGGCGCAAAAAGTGGCCG